CAAATTACAAAATTGCTATTTTTGAAATTTGGCCACGTGGCGCAGAAATAGGAGGTCTTTAGACCGAGCCAACCATAATTACGAATAAATTATTGGGAATATCATAATACAAGTCACTCCGTTATAACAACACTCTCCGTAAAAGCAAAAAATGTCAGCATAACGAGATTGTCATTATAACGGGAGTTCATATAAAAGCCATATTAATATGAGAATCATTGTCTTGTGATTTTTGTAGAGTTTGAAAAAATGGGCTTTTAAGTTGATTTTCATCATCATAATTATCATAATCATAATAATCATTTACAATACCACTATTACTAATATCATTTTTACTATTACTATCGCCTTCATTAAAATTATCATCATAATCACCATCATCATCAATTTTACTGTCAATATCATTCCTTATACTAATATTATCCTGGTTTATGATGCTGCCACCATTATCCTTACCATTACCGATAGTGTTAACAGGATAAATTTTATTCCTGCAATTATTCCTATTATTATTGTTATTACGATAATGTTCTGGTTGTTTTTTTCCTTCATCTTGAGAAACAAAAGTAAATGCAAATAGTGCAGAAGGAATAAACGAGGAGACGAACCCAATAAGTGCTAATCCAATCGATTTAATAGCCATTGTTAATACTATTATTATTTTAAAATAATAATAATTAAATAGAAAATAAATAGATAAGTAGGAAAAAATTTTTAAGAAAAGATTTTTTTGAATTTTTTTGAATTGAAAGACAGATTAAGGGATTAATTGGATTTTGATATAAAGATTTTTGATGATTGATTTGATTTAATTTGATTTGATTTATTGCGTTTCGATTAAGTTTTTGATTTCAGGAAAAAAATAAATAGTAATAACAAGTCTTTATGAGTTTATAAGATTTTTTAATAAATATATATATATATATATATATATATACACATTTATATATAACAAGGTAGGTGGTGTATATATATATAAATAAACTGCGCGTGTGTGAATATGCGTGAAAAAATATATATATTAATTATTAAAAAGAAATACTATATCATGATAGGTATCAAAAAAAAACAAACTAAACTTGATCGAGTAAGCGACGGATACAAAAAGCAAAAGAAAAGAAAGGAAGGAGGAAAAAATAAGAAAAATAGATAATTAGAATAATAAGCGTGATAATTATCTAATTATTTATTTTATTATTTAATATATTATAGTATCCTTGTTATTCTTTATTATTCGGAAAGAGAAATTCACGCGCATTTTTTATAAACAAACAAATAACTTTATTTGTTGTAATCAGCCAGCTTTTTATAGTGTAAATAGATGGATAGATTTTAAAGATTTCAGTACAACATATCACGCTACCAAATTTGTACAAATTTTCGATGAGCTTTCACGTGATATTTTAATACCTACTGTTTATATTAGTAACAATTAGCAGTAATGGAAAAAGAAATAATTGCAAGATTTTTCACTCTTTTCTTTAATAATTTTATGAGATTTCCAAACACCAATTAAAAAAACACATCAAAATCAAATTTATCAATCTATTTTGAGCAAATCATTGATTTATGCTGACTGCACTTGTATGATCATGGTATTTATTAATATTTTTTATTAATGTTTGTTTACTCCTTCATTTTCGGTGCTTCGCCTTCTCCTACTGTTTGCATATCAATTTAATTGATTTTTTATTATAAGAAATAAATAAATCCTTAAATATTTAATCTAAAATAAAAAATAAGGGAACAAATTAAAAAAAAAACAAAGTCAATTAATTAATTTGTGATTTATTTGTTTTTTATTTTTATTTTTATTTATATTATTTATATGATTTATATTTATATTATTTATATTATTTATATTATTTATATATATATTTTTACAAAAATCTATCTCTAAATACTATTATTATTATTATTATGATGATGATGATGATGATGATGATGATGATGATGATGATGATGATGATGATGATGATGATGATGATGATGATGAT